GTGTGATGAGCAATACCCCCTCACAAACCAACACTCTTCTTGACCAAACCAACACTCTTCTTGGCCATTGGACATAACACAACCCCCTTTATGTTCTAGCTACCCTCACTGCTGTGACCTTCGCAATCAACAGTGTCACACATATACACAAGATTCGCGACACTCACACAAGAGTTTTATGTATCGGGGATGGACCACCCACCCATCCATATATATATTATATATATATACATATACCTGACATCAGGGTCGTCGCCATTTTTGCATTCGATGTGCGAGATGCGCAGGTTCGTGATCACATCCTGGATCACGTCAAACTTGGCGCCGGGCGTCGCCGACAGCGCGAGGACGCGGAACCCCGACACTTTGGCCGCGATGGCCTTGATTACAACCACGTACGCGTAGTTGCCGGTCGCGCGGTGCGCTTCGTCCACGACGACGCACACGAACGACCGGACGTCGCAGTTGCCGCGCTCGATGTCGTTCTGGAGGCTCTGGGGGGTGCAGAAGAACACGCGTTTGGTGGCCCACAGCTGTTTGCGCTTGGCGGGCGCGACGTTGCCCTGGAGCTCAGCCATGTCGGACTGCGGGATGGGCATGACGTCGTGACACGCTTGGATCTGCTGGCTCACGAGCGGCTTGGTCGGCGCCATGAACACGATCTTCCCGCGCGGAAACCATCGGTAGAAGTTGAACATGACTACCGCCGCGATCAGCGTCTTGCCGAGGCCCGTGGGCAGACACACGAGCGTGTTCTGCAGCAACGCCGCGCGGGAAATCGACTGCTGATACGCGCGGACGGGGTAGTTGCTTGGGTAGATCCACTGGGTCGCCAAGTCCCGGTCGATGTCGGCGCCCATCACGACAGAGTCTTCGGGGATTTCCATGGGATTGGGCAGAAACGACAACGTGCTTGGGAGCAGCGCCAGCGATGACCGCGGACGTGGCGGTGGTGGGGGTACTACTGCAGCTGCTGCTGATGATGACGATGTCGAGGAAGGACCTGAAGTGGTGTAGGACACAGGCGCGCGCGTGGATACTGAAGCCGATGGAGCGAACGGTAGTACGTGTGCTTGTGCTGGCGGAAATGACGAGTTGCTACAACGGGTTGGAGCTGGCGTTGCTTGCTTTGATGGAACGAGCCAAGACGACATCGATCCTCCACTGCGCGAAGCTAATGGCAATAGAGGTGCGTTTGAAGCCGGTGGTGGTGTGCGTTGAATCCTTGCAAACTCGCACGCTGAACATGTCGATTGAGTCCCAGGGTTGTGCAACGTACATCGCGGGCACGTCCAACGATCATTTGTCGCTGGGGCAGCGTAGACTCCATGGCGTTCGGCGACAACTGTGCTCTCGACGATGTCCGCTTCCATGGCGACGGCCTCCCATGCTGCATCGTCCCACTCGTCGTCCTCCATGCACGCAGTCCCACGGGGTTTTTGCGCCAAACCCAGATTCAAAACGATTTGCCAAAACCAAAAGTGTATCCGGATATTGACCGGATATCACCGACCATCCGCCGGCATTTGAAACTTGTGCAATTTTCCTGGAATGCTTGGTCTTTCAGGGCAAGCCGTGGAGAACAGGCACAGTAAATCTCGGTCTTGGAGCCAAGGATTCCTTGATATACTAACAATCAGGTGTTGTTGGTTAGATCACGTGTACCAGAATGAGGACGCTGAGTGCTTAGCGTAGAAATGAGTACGCATGTATATTAATTAGTATGGTCGTCGTGGCGATGGTAGTAGTTGACTTCGGTGCGCACTCCGCGACCGAAGCCGTAGCCGTCGTACGGCCTCGGTTGTTGGTTGTATGCTGTTCGACGCACGTCCATTTCAATGTCTCCGTGGGTTTCCCACGTGTACAGGGTGTTGTTTTCGCAGCACGCGGTGCTGAGAAACTGCACAAACGTACCGACCAGTGTCAGGAGTATCGTGGCGCATAGGTATATCCAAAACGAGTTGGGGATGGTGTAGCTCACTTCGCCAAGCGCGTTCGACACTCGGTACACGGACAAGTCGTCCGCACACGCATACCCCCCAGCAAAGTACCCTACGCCCCACATGGCCGCGCCCGCGCCTGTCCACGCCATCATTGGCACCAGCATGGGCTTCTCAACAGTGTAACACGCGATCGCAAAGGCGAGACTCAGGACGCCCATGAAGATAAACAAGATGCCGTCGGTGTAACTTGGCCACCACTTGTGTCCAAACGAAGTCGTGAGCAGGAATGCCAGCACGAGGCCGCCCGTGCCGCCCACGAGCATCACACCCACGCTGAGTACGTATAGCCCTACTAAGCCGCAGACCAGCCCACACACGGAGAACACGGCCCAGCACACGATGTAAAAGCTCCCCGAGGTTTGCGCACACACGCGCTCGGCTGTCATGTACCCCACAATCGCTCCAAAAGCAAACGACGACACAAACACCGTCGGTCGAAACAGTTTGTATCCGTAGAAAAGGATCGCGAGCCCCAGCCCAATGCACGCCCCAGCGATGAGGGCTGGCCATACTGCCACGGGGCCGACACCCGATGAACTGAGCAAGCTGAAATCGTTGGCGCGGGGGCTCGGCGTTGGCAAGGTGTTGGAAGAATTCACCGCTTGATTTTTGAACTTGGCAGTGACATTGACTACGCTTTGGGGGAGCACCAGGACTGGGTTGTTGTTACCGTCGAGAGAAGTCACTGTTGGGGTGGCGTCAGCAGAGAGCAACGTTGCCGATGAGTTGGGAGCAGCCACATCGATCTGGGCTGCCAGTGCTACGTCAACTGCCAGTAACACGAGAAACGCCTTAACAGTAAGTTGCATTACTCGACAAGAAATCTCTCACTGCACGCACGCATATCTGGCGCCGTAACTTTAACTTGCCATCAATAATTATACATCATGGCATAGAGCAAGCAAAATCACTCACTTGGATAAAGAAAAAAGAATGCCATCAGTGGGGTTTGAACCCACGCAGACGAAAGTCTAGTGGATCTTAAGTCCACCCCCTTAGACCACTCGGGCATAATGGCTTGATATCTAAATTTAGTGTAAGAATAATCTTACAAACGTATGTGGTATGTACAGCACATTGGTGAATACTGCGTAGCACTACTACTATTCAAACTACATGAAGTACTTTTACTGCTATTAATAATTTCAATAATATTAATAGTAGATACCTACTACTATATACTAGAATGGCTTGGAAAGAAAAAAGATTGCCATCAGTGGGGTTTGAACCCACGCAGACGAAAGTCTAGTGGATCTTAAGTCCACCCCCTTAGACCACTCGGGCATAATGGCTTGGCTTTATATATCGTACTACAGTCTGTACTAAGAATAAGTACAATATATTTTGAGTATTGATAATTTGAAGTGCCACGGAGTACTATTAATAGTATTAATATTTGAAGCATAATATTTGAAGCATAATATAATATTTGTACTTTATTGAAGGGTATCGGCACCAATCGCTTGCGTTGGATTTGACTTTCAACTTGAAGCATGCTTACTCGGTTGTTACGGTCACGTCCATCGGCTGTCCACTCCATTGCGAACGCGTGGACTCGCCATGGCTCGACATTCGAGTCGCTGGGTCTGAGTCGAGAACTCTGCGAAGCGTTGCATAACAAGGGGTTGGAATCGCCTACGAACATCCAAGAACGAACCATTTCGGCGGCGCTCAATGGAGCCGACGTGATTTGCACGGATGCCACCGGTAGCGGCAAGACACTGGCGTATCTCCTTCCTGTTGTAGAGAAGATTCGTCGGTCCGAGAAGCGGCAGCTCGTCCTAGCTCAACGGAACCGCGCGCAGCTGGAGGCCGCACACTCTGCATCCACCCCCGACGACATGCCCACTGATGCCACCGCAACCATCAGCCCAAGCCCAGTGGACACTGTGCGGCGCGAAGTGAGCCGGCCCAAGGCCATTGTGCTCGTTCCCAGTCGCGAGCTCGGCATTCAAGTCGGCGCCGTGGCGCGGGAGTTGTCGCACTTGGCCAAGTTCTCGTCCTGCATCATCACGGGTGGCAGCGAACAGAAGCCGCAAAAGGCCGCGTTGGGCCGGCCCATCGACGTGTTGGTGGCGACCCCAGGGCGCTTGGCCAAGTACATCAAGAGCGGCCACGTGTTTCTGTCGCGCGTCGAGTTTGTAGTCATCGACGAAGCCGACACGCTGCTGGATCGGAAGATGGGGTTCCGCCCCATCATGGACGAGATCCTGGGACCCATTCGCGCGAGTGGCTTGGCGTCGAGTCGCCACGTGCAGTACCTCTTGGCCGCCGCGACGGTCAAGCCCCCCATGGACCAAGTGTTTGCGTCGACGTTTCCCGACCTCAAGCTCGTGTCCGGCAAAGGCGTGCACCAAACCCCGCCGAGTCTCACGGAAGAATACATTCGAGTGCCGGTACGTCATTGATTGGTTGGCTCTGAATGGGCGTTGAGTTTGGATACAACTAGGGCTCGGCCGACAAGCACGGCGCGCTGCGGGCGTCCTTGTCGCAATGGAGTAAAGGCAAGACGCTCGTGTTTTGCAACTCGACGGCCAGCTGCAGGTCCACAGACCACATGCTGCAAGAGCACGGGTACCCGTCGACGACCCTACACGGAGACATCCCCCCCGTGGTCCGCAAGAAGAACTTTGACGCGTTCGTGGCTGGCGACGCCACCGTGTTGGTATGCACCGACCTGGCGGCGCGAGGCCTGGACCTCGTACATGTCGATCATGTCATCAACTTTGACTTTCCCAAATCGTCGGTCGATTACTTGCACCGAGCCGGGTAACGTTGATGCTTTGGTCAACCCATTTGATTTGTAAAATCGCTCTATGTCTCATGGCCAGCACTACACTTGTTGAAACGTCTCTTGGATGTTGATATCGCAATGTTCATGCTTCTACTAAATACCAAGGCTAAGAACCTTCACGTTTGTATCAAACATATCGCGTAGGCGCACTGGACGGGCGGGAAAGCGAGGTATTGTCACCAACTTGATCACAAAACACGACGCGGCGACGGCGAGGGACATGACGATCGCAAAGGGCAAACTGCAGCCCATCATGGAAGTCACGACCCAAGTCAACTTGGCCAAGTACAAACATGGAGCTCATGCAGCGGTGGACTCGGCGGCAAAACGTGACGAGCCGTCGCGGGGGGCTCGAGGCACGCGCAAGTTGAAACTCAAGCCCCATAAACTGCGAACGTTGCCTCGTCGTGCCAAGACGACACCATCACTGTAACACAAAGGGTACTTAGGGCTAACTGTAAAACAAGATTCCATGGCAGCTTGCTTAGATGTGTGCTGTATGTAAAAGTATATAATCAAGGAATTAAAACGGGTTCGAACTCGGCTTTTCAATGTACACCCACAACGAGATGAACACAAGGCCAAACGCAATCAAGGACTGGCCGAAAAAGTTGCCTTGGTCCATTAAGCTCTGGTAGCTCCACCCAAAGTACTCTTGGATGCTCATGCGGACACTCGGTCCGAGCTTGGTGGCAATGAACAGCCCCATCATGAGACTCGCGACCAGCAGCGACGCGCCGTGCGACGTCTGCTGTGAGTTGTACGTGGCAAAGAACCGGATCAACGCCCAAACTAGCCCAAACACGTGCCCAAAGTACACGAGGACGTTCGGGAGTTCCGTGACCGACCCGCGGGACGAACTGCCTGTGACAAACCACGCGGCCTCCTTGCCCGTGATCTTCCACCAGAAAGTCTCGAGCACGGCCGACGTGTGCGTGAACGCGTACACAAACCACGCCTCCTGGGACCGCACGACGTCGTTGTTCTCGACGCTGCGGTTGCTCA